ACTGTTCTTATCTTCTCGAGCGGTTTCTGACACGATGTCGGACCGCTAGAGTTGATGAGGCGTGGTGGCAGAGTCAACCCTGCGTTGCGCAGTTCGCAACGGCACGTTGAGAGATCCTCAACGCACGCTGTATGGGCGGAGACACAGACGGCTCGAGCATGCGAGTGTGAATGTTCGCGCGAGAGAACGTGTCTAATCGGGCGAAACTGCGCAACGTGGCCGTTGAGAACTGCGCAACGCAGGGTTGACTCTGGTGGGTGGAGCGTAAGTCTAACACTTGAAACACGTTCAGGCCTCTGAAGACGACGATTCAGTCGAAACGTTAGGCCATTAATAAATGTTCCACCGAACAACCTCGTAAGGCACAAGAAAATTTGTTAAACTTACAACTGACATGCCGAGGTTACAAGAAGAGAGAAGTTGGAGAATACTATGGATAGTATTTTTAACAATTGATTCATAGTGATGCATAACAGTCGAAAACCAAAAAATCAACAAGAGTACGCAATGGGTGTGCTAACAGTTTGAAAAAATTAACAATCCGACAAATTAACAATTAACAAGGAGAGTAACAATGGAGGGTAAGCGGTGTACTTCTATAGTGTACTTCTATATAACACGAGTTCCTTTTTTCACTTCCGCCACAGAACGTTTCTCCACGAACTTTTTCTAAAAAAATGCTATTACCACAGAGTCAGTTCAGAATCGCAATGAAAAGCGAGTGAAGTAAGTTAGTCAACATGTAACGGACGACTATATCGGCTTATGCGAACAGTGGGATCAAAACGCGGCTAAAGCATGCTCCCGTAACTGATCTTTGAAAAAAATAGACTTCCGTCAACGACAACTTCGTAATTTTCCTTTTCACTCTATGTCTAAGGTATAAGAGGTGAATGGAGGCTGCAAGCGACATCTTCGAACAGTGCAACCCTGAGAGAGGGTGGTGGCTATTCAGGAGAAGCGGTCTCGGAAAATGGGGACCATAGGTACGTCATTCATCAAATAGAAAGAGTTGGAAAATTGAATCGAAGTGTAGTCGTAATCGAAGTGTGTGAAGTTTATTGGAGTTTGTCAAAAAAAATTTAGCCGTTCAGGTCCTGGGAATACATGTTATTCCTCATTGCTGAGAGTATACACGGGTATACTTAGATAATTAAAAATATACAAAAATAAGAGAAATAATCGTGCGCCACCCTGTGGCATCCTGCGGCGCACGTTGCCTGCTCGTGTAAGGTAGATAACAGCTAACAAAAAGTTGGACTAAAAAATTTCATGAGATTGGGAAGTGATAGAAAAGAGGAACTGTACAGAAATGGAAACGGTGGAGGCTCATCTTACGTCTAATACAAATCCTAGCCTCAGGCTCCAAACATGCGGGAAAACGTCAAAAAGCTTGAACAAATTTCTTGTTGTTTGGTTAACTTTGACTTAAAGACAAGCGATCCTAGAGCGGAAGCCCTGGAGTGAGACCTGCTCGGCGGTTTTAGCATACTTGCAAAAACTTCCCAAGGAATGTGCAAGCACACAAACTTGATGATCCCGAAGAGTTCCAATGAAGGAAATGTTGGAAAACCCGAGTTTACACGCTACAGCGCAATGAATTATGTAAATCTCACATAATTAGGAGCGGTGCATTTTTTATTGCTGCAAATATACTCCAGAACACATCCGGAGAGCTAGCCCGACTTCGATGGGACCAAGTCAAGTCTACGCAGGGTCCAAAGCAAGCAGAGTACAAGTGTGGCCAATGAGCCCTAATAGCTCCACGCTTTTTATTAATATTTTTTAGCAGTATACATAAAAAATATGAAAGGTACTCAAATAGAAGATCTAACTTTTACCTTTAACTTCGTCTTCAGTTTCTTCTTGCTTCGTTGTCCACCAATAGGCAACATGTTCCTTTTTTGAAGGCTTGCCATACGTTCATTCAGCACGTGCCCTTGTGGTTTCAGCAGTCGAAGAGAATCTGCCAGCTCTTCCTTGAAAAATGCTGCGATTAGCCATATAAGTGGTCTGAGGGAAAGCATAATTGTAGTCTCAACAAATTACCTGTAGCAGGAATGGCTCTTCATACTCCTTGAACTCACCACGTCCCAAACGCTGCCTCGTGGTCATCTAAAACGATAAAGAGTGGTAACTCTTAACTAATAAAAACCATCACCAAAAGTGCAAACTAGGCACCTTTTCCAGAAACTTCTCCTTCTTTCGCTTAGCAGACTTTTCCAGAGACTCCTTTTCGGCACGTTCCAATGCTTTGTTGATGCTTTTAGCTCTGAAAGAACATTGATCGCGAAAGCAATGGCGACCACTTTGAAACATTCAGCTCAAAAAAATTCCTCAAACTCTCGATTCGACCTTCGTAATAACAGAAACGTGTTTAAAATGGTGGGTTAACTGAGCTGCTAAGTGAACTTGCATAAGGATGCATACCTGTAAACATTATGTTGTGCTTTCTCCAATTCCTTTCGCCGCTTATGTTCACGCTGGAGCTTTTTTTCCTTGACTGCGTTAGCCTTCTGTTTCCGAGTTTTCCGCTGGAGATGAGATATCGATATTTTCTGACCTGAACAAATGGATGAGAATAAATTGGAAAACACTCCTAACGCAATTCTCCAAACACGATCTGCGTAATTTCTGACTTGGTCTGAGTTCAAGAGAATGTAAGATTTCGATGTAGGGTTGTTTGGAAAGTACCCACCGATTTCGACCCTGAAATTCGAAAGCGCACATCTCGATCCGAACAAAACACTTCTGATTGGAATAAAGACCATTTACAATCTTCGTACTTTCGCCAATAAGAAAATGCCAGAAATTCAATAGATCCGGATGCTGGAAGTGCAGGAGCTCTACGGGCGCAGAACTTGGTGAAGGTTGTTTCAACATCAAGTTGGGTTCCGAGGTTCAATCTCTTTGAAGAAACCACCTAGATGGCTGGAAAAATAACAGATGGTAGGCAATAGGTCTGGTGCGTGTAATGTTCGGAAACAGTTCGTAGCTCAGCTACTTCAAGTTATGCATTGTCAAAAACGCGAGATGGGATGTGCAACAGTGGATAGAAGAGTCGGCGGAACTCACTTGCCGACTTCTCTTCGACTTTCTCCTTCACCAATGTTCTTGGAAACCCCTCGTCGCTTACGCCTCATTCAAAAGCGACCTTCTCAGCAGTTCCATATGGATTTGGTTTGGTCAAAACCCTCAGATAATCTTTGTCGTCTACGTAACCGACCATCACCCTAACCTCTTTCGAAGCTTATCACCTTGACGAGAGAGCCGTTTTGAATCACGGCTGCACAGAGTACTCAGGACCAAATACTCATTTGGTGACGCAACTGCTGCGCTTTACCGACCACTTCTTGGAGGGACAAAAAACTCGTACAATATAGCATGTTGGGTATGTTTACAAGACCCTAAAAACGAGGGACAAAGTGACTGCGAAAAAATAACAGTACATTTAGATAGCATGAAAAACGCGCTTTTCAGTAGTATATAAAATGTTAGCAGTTTCTTGAAAGTAGCAGAAATAAAACATTTGAGATCGAGGTACTGAAGGCGGGAAAACTTTTCAAACAACCGATATTTTAGAACTCATCAATCTTAAAATAATTTTCACATCCGAGCTAAGAAAGGTGGATAGAGTGCACTGCATCAATGAGTACAGATGACACGAACGGTACGATACTTACCGTTTTCTTCCTCATTCTCCATTTCGTTGTCGTTCTTGTCCTCGACGTCATCACCATCATCTGCGTTGTATCGTGGATCAATGACGAGTCCTTCAGTCTCTTCTAATCTTTTCTCCGCCTAAAGGCCAAAACGTTTCCAACCTCAGAACTATAGAAAGAATGAAAAAAGATATCGCCAAAGTCTAAAACACACATGGGTCACAATGCTTTCGAACTTAGGCTTGCTTGCATTCTGAATTCGCTGCTCTTCAGTAATCAGCTTTGTTTCATCCTCTGCTATCCGTTCCACGTATTTCTTAACAAAGAAATATTGAAATGCATAAAAATGAGTCGAAGCAGTGCCTCCAAAATGGTAAGGGAGCTGAAAAAATCATAAGTTTCTATGAGTACTTGATAATCCTCCGCTTTTGGATTGTAAGAAGCTCCAGCATCAGGTACTGCTACAGCATCCAATAAACTGGGTTTGAATCGACAAGTAGACGGCATATTCGGAAGTTTCTTTTTCGTATACCGTAAAAGATGCTCACCAGCTTCTTTGAATTCGATATCAACCTTTGGCACAAAATCTGGAACACGAATACGCTATGCAACTATCTGAAGGGATGGATGACCACGCTACGCTCACCTTTTTCCCACAAATCGTACGCTTCCTTTTGTTGCTTTGGCTTTGCCTGTTCATTTCGCTTGACGTGTTTCTTCAGTTTCGGCTGCTTTTTGTTCGGAAACGTGGGAGTGGGTAATGACTTCTTTTCCTGACTGAAAGCATGAATCGTTTCCTTCTCAAGTACACCATTACCCTCACGCAACCAGGCCAGACATTGAGAATCACGATCTGATTGCAATTAAATTGCACATGCGCTGCAACGCGAGCGATGATTAAATTAATGATGGTCGAGATGCAGCACCAGCGCCGTCGATCTTGAGCATATAGGGCGATAATGGAACCAGTTTGCAAAATGAAAACATCGTTTACACTCCAAATCTCGAAGTCTGATTGGGCGTGTCACCGGAAATGACGTGGCAGCCACCGCACTTGATAGAAGTTGCGCGGATAAGCTGCTTCCAGCATGCTTGCTGATATCTGGCGGAGTATTTTATCCACGCAACATCTATCAAGTGCGGTGGCTGCCACGTCATTTCCGGTGACACGCCCAATCAGACTTCGAGATACCGACTGTAACACGTTGACGACATCGCGCGTTTTGTGTTTTTGCACCGCGTGGGACCAGAGCGATTTTGCGAGCGCCGCCGCCGCACACCAAATCCATGGATTTTGAGCTGTAAATACGCAATACTTAGATGCGATGAAGTGTTTTCAATAATGTTCGATCTGTCTAACTTATCGGGAGTTACAGTAATGGAAGTTCGACCGAAATGAGTTAAGGCCATGAAAAGGCAAATTTTACTTACTTTCCCTTTAGTGGTTCCAAAATTAATTTGGACGTGGTTGTTTCAGTAAAAACACATATCTTCCCATACGAATAGGTTTGTATTCGCTTCTATTATTCCTTTTTATCAACATGTTTACGTTAGTGAAAAAAACGAGGAATGAACTGAACAGGCAGGGTGTGGGTACTTAGGACAGAACGCGACTTTTTCGCTCTTCGCAACGCGACATCGCGCGGCAGGCTGGCGCACCCGCAGCGAAAACAACTACGGTATATAAGAACGCGCGATTGGAGCGCGATATTTGTGTCGGCTTTGATTGCGACAAGGAGTTTGAAGCTTAATAGCCATGGATTTGATAATGAACGAGGAAATGGTAACCAGAAGTGGACCGCTAACTAGCAGTGAAGAGGGAGGTAGGTTATTTTTGCAGAGATGGATGGTAGAGCTTCTGGAGAACCTGGAAGAGGAATGGTTGATGGACGTTTGATGAGAGACGACTGTAAACTTCTGCATAGGGTTATTTGGGGCCCTGATCATGAATATGACACTCATTTTTCACATTCGTGCTGTTTAACGCATACTTTCTGCTTTCTAAGCTTTCTCACCTACAGCGCCTACGACTAAGCTTAGGGGAGGGGAGTGAAACTCCGGAGTGGGTAAACCACGCACCGTGTGGCAAAAGTTGGAGTGTGTCAGACCACAGGGGAATGGCCTACCCACTTTGGAGCCCTACACTACTCAAAGGCTTAGTCCTATTGCGATCTAATTAGTGCGAGGGCGCAGACGAGCAGGAAGCAGGCGCCGAATAGCGCTAACAACAAATCAGGACCCCGAATAACCCCTATACAAAAGTTTAAAAGCGAATTTAGTGGGAATCAGTTGTGGCGCCACCTGGCCCCAAAATGGCGCCAGCGTCAAAAATGAGTATCATATCCGTAATGAGGACAGAAGCGTTCCGTAAAAGATGTTATACCCTTATGCAGAAGTCTATACAACAATATGAACCCACAAAATGCAAGCACAAGCGACACTATTAAACCCTCGTTCACCGATAATTCGTAAAACACCATTTTAGTGGCATCGCCCGGAATCTTGTAAGTCACAAAACGTTTTCAATAATGAGACAGAATTAGTGATTCACCGCATTTATCAATACAATGGGTGTGAGCGCGGGCAAGTAAGGAATCAGAAACTTACAAATTCACGCATGCAAAAAAGCTGCTCCAATCGCGCGTTCTTATATACCGTAGTTGTTTTCGCTACGGGTGCGCCAGCCTGCCGCGCGATGTCGCGTTGCGAAGAGCGAAAAAGTCGCGTTCTGTCCTAAGTACCCACACCCGACGGGCATACCCGTAAGGTCTGGAAAACCTCTGCCAAACTAAAGAATATTTGGCCTTTCTGTGAGCCATGTGGTTTTTAAGTATGCTAATGTATGGCCTATAGAATGAGTACAAAGACCTTAGGAATAAGTCGCACAAGCGCAAGAAAAACTTGGGTGGGACGCGTTACCGCGTCACAATGTCCCACGAGGTGCGCAAAGTGGGACGCGTTACCGCGTCACGCTGTCGTCAACGTGTATTTTCCTGATTTCCCTAGTATCGACGTGTGCATTGCAGAACTATTCACCTTTTCGACTTTTCTCAAAGTAATCGTGTGCTGCAAGGCGTTCGGCTTAAGGGAAGGATATGTAATGTTTTGCAAATGCAGCGCAATAAGAAAAGCTCAGATTTTCTGAAGACGAAAGTTATCTTTCCTTCATGTGAGCACAATTTTTTGTTGCTAAGAACTCAGCTCGAACTCGAACTCATTGGTCAAGCAAAATGATTCAACCTTTCGCCTATGTGCTACTAATGAGAACACCTATCCAATGAAATTTCGCACACAGTAGAGAAATAAAATTTAGAAAAAATCGAAACATCTTAACGCGAAATTGACAAGAATCAGTGGAACCTACCCAATACTACGTGATATTTTGGCCAAAGCAGCTTGCTGTCGCCTTGTATGCCGTAAAGGCTCATTCGGTGTACGATCGATCGTGAACAACTCCTCATCCTTTTTATGTGCCACAGAACCATATGTTTTCTCATCTGTAGAAGTCATCAATTCACAAAGTTCCTTATGGAATATATAGAATATAGGCCGGTTAGAGCGTAATACGTAATGGAGCAATTGAAGATTTTTACAAAGCACATCTTTCAAGACCGGCGAATAGATAATTCTCAGTACTCGTCTAGAATTGGGAACGTGCGAAATCGCAACAAGTTAGCGATCACTCTCCCATAGGTCGATGTCAGACTTCACGAATCGCGCGATTCGCTACCAGCGATTCGCGCGAGACCGCAGACGCTAGCGAACCGCGCGATTCACAAAGTCTGACATCGGCCATAGAGAACAACATCCTCAAGAATTTGTTCATATTCAAACCTGGCGATTAACCGAAATGATGGCCGATTGTTTGCCAGGAAGTAACTCCAGCGGAATTTCGACTTTCCTTCCTTTTCTCCTTTTCAGATTGAATTCCAATGTGGTCAGACGAAAGCGCATATTTTACTAATCTTCTTTGATCGTAACTCAGAGTGCATTCGCAACGATGTGGGAGAGCTGAAGAGTTTTGGAAAACAAGAGGACATGCATTGATAAAAAGATTATGGAGATCCGTGGAGAAAATCTTGTGCGAATTATTAGCATGGATGTAGTGTATCTAATAGATGGCACGTTTCATGAACATGACAATCGATAAGCATCTAACGTTTTTTGCAGCAGGTTCTCCCAAAACACCCAATAAGGACAAGTTCCAGCTTTTGAGGTGTTCTGTGGGTTTGAGATGTTCAAAATGGGTAGTGAGAGCTAGATTGGATATGCAACAACCAGATTGGCCCCGCAACCGCCGGTACCTCCTTCCCCTGCATAAGCTTTGCTTCTTCCGCTGTGTTTCCTTCCACTTATGGCACCAAAACTTCTTGGAGGTGGTGCGTGTCATAAAAAAGGTATTTCACATCGTAGAGGGCATCATATCAATCACAACAGGACGACATGACATCTCAGTGCTCCATTGTTCCTTAGCTTTTTTGGGAAAGCCTTTCCTCCTCCTCCCTTATCTTCCGTTCCTCCCTAAATCCCTCCATTGCTCTCCAGATTTGTAGCCCTCGGGGTGTTATCAAAATCATGCCATTGCAAAACATTGATAGCGCAAGTCCTGCGAGCTACCCAGATTTGTTAGCGGTTTGTTTATTCCATTAGCTCCTTATCACTCACTTCATTTTGCGGACGGACAGACACATACATACATATACACACAAACAAACCGACACACCAAAGTTGTCGTTTATATAATAGAAGGATTGTCAGACTTACTAAGAAAGATTATGCGGAAAATGGTATGATGAATTCTTAGAGCGCGACCGGCATGGGAAAAAATTGTGTTTCGAAAAGAAGAGGACTTTGCTTTCATCACCGCAAGCCTATTCGAATCACTAATAAGTTGAACCAGATTACACAAGCAGTGTTCGGAGGCACTGTCTACACAATAGATCCTTCTATCACAGTGAGCTAGTGACCCTGCTTTTAGTCCTGTACCCGTGCATCCGCTTCTTGTTCCGTGTTTCCCCGCGCAACTCAAGGGGATGCGTCAAGAATGTGATTCAAAAAATCGGCCGCCAGCAAAATCGTGGAACAAATTTGACCTATAGATTTGATAAGATATTGCCACTGTGTTGATATCACCAACTGCTGCGCTCAAATACTAGCACAGTCGGCCATCCATGAGGTACATAATAGAGCGAAGTGAGAGCAGTGATGGGAAAAATTAACCGCTAATAGAATTAGACACCACTCTTGTAAATATGTATACACCCATGAGATTTCACCTCACAAGCACGGGCGGAAGGAGTGTAGCGTACACGTGTAAAGAAACCCTAGGGGTTGTGGTTCACTAGGACAGAAAGCGACTTTTCGCGTTTCGCAGCGCGAAACATTTTCCGCTGCGGGAACCTCAGGTCCACCGCTGATCATCAGTGGACCCGAGGTTCCCGCAGCGAATCATCAGTGGACCCGAGATTCCCGCAACGAACAATGTTTCGCGCTGCGAAACGCGAAAAAGTCGCTTCTTGTCCTAGTGAACCACACCCAATCCAGTGTTGCCGAAAAAAAAACTACAATAAATCTCACCATTTATATATCCTACTATATATAAGCGGCTAGCGTGTGTCTGTTGTGTGTGTGTGTATGTTTGACCGGAAATTCATAGCTCGAGTCACAGTAACGATAGCGCAGTGGTTCTTACATATGTTATAGGGGGTGGGATGGGGACACAAGTGGTACGTGATAGGAACTGATAACGACTGATAATAGCTGATAAGAGGGGCTAGAAAGCGAGCATCGCCAATTTCGTTTTGTCGTTCATATTGGTACTAGAGCGTCTATACTTACAAGTGTTATGTGGGGTGGTCCCGGGACATTGGTGGTACATGATGAAAGCGATAGCAACTGATAAGGGCTGATAAGGGCGTTAGAACGCAAAGTCGTCGATTC